AGCTGGAGGTTACCCCTTTTGGGGAGGGATCTTTGTAAGTATGTGCAAATTCCTCTTCAGTCATGCACTTTTTCTGTGCAGTATATTTATGTTAATTTTCCTAGTTAACATACTGACATTAAATATTTATTAATATTGTAGGCTGCCCAATCCAAAAAATTCTGGGTGGCTTCACAAAATTAAAATAATACCCAGGTATAACACAACAACTATTATATACTGTTATATAAGACTATTCTCATAGGTCCCAGATTTGCTGAGGTTTTTTTCCCCCTTTATATTTCCAGTGGACTACAATCAAATATTTTTTTCCTTTTCTTTTTGATAGTTCATTTCTTCTGGATCACTAAGTGTAGCAGCTGAGAAGCATCAAAATCGTAGTTTGGTGAGAAAGCTATATGGCATTTGAATTTCTTTTAACTGCTTCTTCTTAAGCACGCTGGGCCCTTTACATTGTCTTTTGTATTCAGATACTGCTCAGTCTTAAGTCAAGATTTGGGAAAGGAAAGCAAACCCAAGAGCCCCACCAACTCCACTTCCTGCTTTGATCAACTGTTGAACATCCCAAGCCTTGCTTCCAATTGAAAGTTCTACCCCAGCAGTGGAGGATGTTGAAACATCCAGAATTAGAGCCTGCCCTGGTCCCCATTTTGCAATGGGCTTCTTCTCACATTCCCTTCATGATGTGCCACCTGCAGGACTGCAGGTCATGTCAGTATATGACGGAAATGAGAAAAGCCTGAAATGGCCAATGACCATGACGTGGCTACTTGTTCTACCAGGACTTTCTTAATTGCTACCAGAAATGGAGCTAGTGATGAGCAGAGAGGTGTGTTCTTGCATTCTCTAATCTTGAACCAGACCTCTGACCTTCCTCCTCCTCCTATGGCTTGGCAGAGAGCCCTGTTGCAGAAATGTTCCTGCATGAAAGCAACATTAGGAGGAAGGCCAGTGCACCATCCCTCTTGTTGCCTCTCTGTAATGTACAGCTAAAAGAGCATTTATTTATTTATTTATTTATTTATTTATTTATTTATTTATTCAACCGCCCATTTATGTTTAGAATATGTAGTTTATTGAGCATATACGTTGTGGGATTTGTTTAGCCAACATGTTAAGGGGTGAAGACATCTTACCAGTTTTCCTATCGCTTTTAATCACCTGGCCTTCAATGGAGACTGATGTCCAGAAACAAAAAGAAGGAATTTGACAGTGTTATAAAACCCTTCAAATGAGTTGTGGGATTTGCATTTCCAGTGTGGGAAGCCCCCAGTGCAGCTGTTTGATACGTAGGTTCTTACTGAATGTTGTTTGGCTTCACCACTGGTTGATTATGTGCCATTCAGCGCGCACATAGTTAGATTTCTTTCACCATGGCTGGGTGTAATTTTCTTTATGATTTGCACTTAATAAGACCTATGCTGTCATTGTAATTTTTCTCCCCCCCCGATTTATTGCTGTTGTCCTTCAGGTGAGATGCAGTGTACGAATGAACATCACAAGTGCTATATTGTCATTAATTGGTATCCTGCTGTGCATATTAGAGCTCAGCACAGGTGGTACTACTTCTCAATATAACCATCCATATGAGATCAACTGGGCAAAAGTAAGTCAACCAATCTGCTCTAGAATTTTGGCTTCATGTGCAGGATCCAGAAGACGACAGATCCTAGATCCCTTCAGTTTTGTGTGAAATCTCCCCTTGAATAGGTCTCAGTCCCAAAAACACGAGCGCTACTTCATTTGAATGCTGTTTTATATATTCGTTACATTAAGGCCAAGCAGCCATCTGATGGTTGTAAAAATTTGGTTGTTTTACAGTAGGGCCTGGGTGGTATAAAAGAAAGGGAGGGCTTGAGAATTCTATATAGACGTCAGCTGCAAACATCAAAATCCGTACCAGGTTCTCCCCCCGTGCTCATCCCTTCTTTGCATTTGCCAGATAGTTTCAGAAAACTGAAATTCAGGTAAGTTCTGGAGTGTGGACAGAACCATCTTGCAATTTAGAACAAATACCAGGGATCAATGGCTCTATATTTGAGCATTTCTTAAAGTGCTGAACTTTGGTTTAATTTCTTTAGCATGCCAGTATTAAATCAGAGCCTTTATTCCTTCCAACCTTGACAGAAGATTGGGAAGAGGTTGTGTAAAGGGGCTTGGAAGTCTTTGTCAAGGTGATTGAAACTCTTCTGCAGAACCGTAGGGTAAAACAAACGTTTCACTCAGAGGCAACCAGGGCCTCCATAGCCATTTTTCTGAGGAACACCAGAAAGGGCAAAAGTGACGGTCTTGTTCTTTTCCTCAGCCATGGGGCATTCTCCTGCAAAAAGATGCCACCGCTGCCATTTTGCAGGTTCCTGCCCTGCCTTCTGCAAAGTTGTCCTGCCCAGGCCCGTTTCCCTCCCTTTCCCCTGAACAAGGTCAAATGGGAGGTTGTGGGTGGGCGGGGCTGCAGCTTCCCTCCGGACAGGGATTCCCAGCTGGTCCTTTTGTTGTAGACAGATGCAATTACAGGTAGTCCTTAAAGACCACAATTGGGATGGCGATTAATTGGGCTAATTAAATGAAAGACTCAAGATGGCGGCAGGCAGCAAATACCCAGCATGAGGCTCCCAGCCATGATCATCATGGAGGTATGGAGTCTGAATGTGGGGTGTGTGTAGAGAACCCCGGCATTATCTCTGTCTGTGGGGAGGAGTGTTGCGGAGGTGGTGGCTGGGCCAGGGACGGCCAGGAGAATCCGTGAGCAAAGGGGGTGAGTGTGGCAGCAGGTGGCGCTTGGACCCAGGGGGACAACGGCTGCGGTGGCGGGAGAGTGCTTGTGGTGGTTGCCGAGGCCATACCGTTTGGGCTGGGCGCAACACCCAGTCCTGAGAGTGACAACGATGGTGAGAGTTGGTCCACCTGGGCCGAGAGTGGATGTGGGGCCAAGGCCCATACCCAGCGCTGCAAGGTTCAGTGGCAGTGCCGGTGGTGAGAGTGCTGGCAGTGGGATGGCAGCAATGACAGCACTGGTGGCGGTGCCAAGGCAGATCCAGTTAGGATGGCAAAGCTGGAGGCCAGGGCCCAAAGGACCACAGAGCCCAAAGCCCACAGAGACACTAGGACCTCGGGGGGCCTGGGTTTCTAGCCTCCTAATATGATAGGGGGGCTACCCCCAGAAAAGAGCCGGGGTGACTGGAGTGCTTGTGGTCTGAGTCAGTGTGTGGATGTTAGATGAGTGTACTACCTTCTTCCCAGGTGGGAGGAGAGTAAGAGTGGATGTGGTCCTCTCCTCATCTGCTAGTGAGAGAGGCTGGCTGAGAGAGGGAGTATGGGAAGGGAAGAGGGAGTTGGGGTGACTCAGCCCCTGTTGGCACTGAGAGCAGGTAGCTGAAGTGCCACAGGCCCATTCCCCCCCCATTCCCCCCCTTGGGCTGAATGGCTTATGAGATGACGGGCCCCTTAAACCAAAGGCCAGGAGGGTGGATGGAAGATCACTTGGGAGATTCAGGGCAGGTAAGGGTATTCAAGTGGTGATGGGCATGGGACGTTATGGAGGGAGCCAGAGGGCAGGCCATTTCAGGGGAAGGTGCCCCCGATGTGTTATACTGGTGGCATGATCAGGCCCTCTGCGCTCAAGCCCAGAGGCCCAGGCTTTCAGCTGCTGCTGAATGCTAGGTCGATTAACAATAAGGCCCCCCTTATTCATGACCTTATTGGGGAGGAGCAAGGTGACCTAGCATGTATTACCGAGACCTGGCTGACCCAAGAATGGGGTGTCCCCCTTTCAGAAATGTGTCCAGACATATTTAAGGTTCGGCACCAGTCAAGACCCCAGGGTAAGGGAGGGGGTGTGGCAGTTGTCATCTGGGAATCTCTACTGGCCTTCAGGGGCTCTGCTCTACAAGTTGCTGGTTGTGAGACCCTGTTCCTGAAGATGGACTTGCGGGATCAGTTGGGAGTTTTGCTTCTGTACCAGCCTCCCTGCTGCATAGCAACCTCCCTTCCTGAGCTGCTGGAGGCCATCTCAGGGTTGGCGATGGAGTTCCCCAGGCTTATGGTCTTGGGGGACTTTAACCTGCCGTCCTTGGGATTGGCCTTGGAAGCAGCTCCGGAGTTCATGGCAACCATGGAGGCCATGGGCCTATCCCAGATCACCCATGGCCCGACTCAGGACAGTGGTCACACTCCGGATATGGTTTTCTTGTCAGAGCAGTGGCAATGCGATCTGGTGGGGGATTTGGCATTGTTCCATTTGTCATGGTCAGACCACTCCCTGGTGCCTTGAGATTCTCTTATGCTGCCCCCCCCTGCAGGGAAGTGGGACCTATTTGAACGGTCTGCCCCCAGCAATTGATGGACCCGCTTGGGTTCCAAAGGGAGTTGGGGTTGTTCCTGAGACCTTGCTGCACGGTCTGGCGGAGGCCCTGGCTGCAGCCTGGAATAAGGAGGCAGCTGAGGCCTTAGACAGGATCACACCTGTCTCTGAGACAGGATCACGCCTGCAGCTGAGGCCTTAGACAGGATCATGCCACGCCTCTTGGTCCATCGCCCCTGGCACTCCCCGTGGCTTATGGAGGAGTTAAGGATGCTGAAAAGGGCTAGAAGATATCTAGAGCACCGCTGGCAGAAAACAAAGGATAAGTTTGACTGAACACGGGTTAGAGCCACTATTAAGACTTACCTCGTGGCGATAAGGGTGGCAAAACACCATTTCTCCACTCTTATTGCATCCTCGGAGTGCTGCCTGGCGGCCCTGTTTAGGGTCACCCAGTCCCTCGTGGGTAGGGAGGGCTCAGAGGACCACTTACAGGGCCATGCAGAGGAATTTGCTGAACACCTGACAGATAAAATCGTTTGGATCCATTCCCAGTTGGAGGCCAAGCATGATGCAGGTCCCGTGGAGATGCCCAGGGAGCGGACTTACCCAGTTATCTGGGAACAGTTTGATCCTGTTGGACCTGAGGAAGTGGACAGGGTCCTCAGGGCTGTTAGTGTGGCTACCTGTACTTCAGATCCTTGTCCCTCCTGGTTGATTAAAGCCACCTGGGAGGTGACATTGGGGTGGGTACAGGCGGTGATCAATTCATACTTGCAGGAGGGGTTGTTCCTGAAACCTTTTAAGGAGGCCCTGGTCCACTCACTCAAGAAACCATCGCTAGATCCCACCCTTCTGGACAATTTTCGTTTTTAGGAAAGGTTGTGGAAAAGGTGGTTGCGCAACAGCTTCAGAGGATCCTGGAGGAAACAGATTATCTGGACCCCTATCAGTCAGGTTTCAGGCCTGGTTATGGGACAGAAACAGCATTGGTCGCACTTTTGGATGATCTCTGGCGAGAGCAGGATAGGGATAGTGTGTCTATCCTTGCTCTTTTTGACCTCAGTGGCTTTCAATACCATCAACTATGGTATCCTTTTAAGTCGGCTGCAGGAATTGGAGCTGGGAGGCACAGCTCTATGCTAGTTCAGCTCCTTCCTCCAAGGCTGATCCTGATGTTACCTTTTAACATCTACATGAAACCATTGGGTGAGAGCATCAGGCCCCATGGGATGAGGTATCATCAGTATGCAGATACTCAACTATACTGTATATCTCCATTCCGGGTGACCTAAGTGATGCTGTGGCTACCCTTTCGGGGTGCCTGGAGTCTGTAGGGGCCTGGATGGGGGACAACAGGCTTCAACTGAACCCCTGGTAAGACAGTGGCTGTGGGTACAAGGAGCCTCAAGATCTAGGAGCTTATCCTTGGTTCTTGATGGGGTTGCATTACCCTAGACAGACCAAGTGCTTAATCTGGGGGGCCTCCTAGACTCACGTCTCCTGTTAGAAGTGCAGGTGGCAGTCATGGCTAGGAGGGCCTTTGCGCAACTTCATGTTGTGTGTCAGTTACACCCCTTCCTGTATTGGGAGTCTCTTTGAATGGTCACTCCACCCTGGTCACCTCCCGGTTGGATTACTACAATGCGTTCTACATGGGGCTACCCTTAAAGAGTATCTGGAAGCTTCAGCTGGCACAAAATGCAGCAGCACAGACAGTTTTGAATGCCCCCAGGGGGGCACATGTAATACCTCTCTTACACGAGTTGCATTGGTTACTGGTTTGCTTCCACGTCCAATTCAAGGTGTTGGTTATTACTTTTAAAGCCCTTCATGGCACAGGACCAGGTTAACTGAGGAGCTGTCTCACCCACTTTATATCAGCCTGCCCCACTCGGTCCAGCAGAAGGGGCATGTTGCGGACCCCACCAGTCAATGAATTTTGACTGGTGGGGTTTAGGAAGAGGACCTTTTCTGCTGTGGCCCCCACCCTGTGGAACAACTTACCACCTGAGGTGTGGTGCGCCCCCACTCTTATGGCCTTCAGGAAGAATATAAAATCTTGGCTATGCCTGGGGGCCTGATGGAGGCTCACATTGTTGGACTTGGCTCATGGGGTAATTGATTCTGCTCCTGCTCATCTTGAATTTTATAGTCTTTTAATGTATATAGTCTTTTATATAGTATTATTTTCTAGCTAATTTAATATGAATATTTATATTTTTACTATTTTTACTGTTTGATTTTAATTGTGAGCTGCCCAGGGTCACACTCTGGGGAAGATGGATAGAATATAAATTTAATAA